CCTGCTTCTCCGCACTCATCATTACCAGCAGGATTTACAAAAGGTACTCACTTTTTCACACATCTCATCTGCTGATCCTGAGACAAACAGCACTGGACACCTGATAAATAATAAATCTTCATCCCGGAGCTTGGACTGAAGTTTTGGTCGATGCAATGGGTAAGATAAACATACTAGACCTTGAATGAAGTCATCATCATCCTCCTGGCTAAGCTGGCGTATCACAGAGGCAGCTGCTCGTGAGCCCATGGAACGGCCTTTCTCCCATGTTAAAATAAAGGAAAAGAAAGCGTATCTGCTCCAACTCTGTGTGTTTCAGCATACCAGTAGTACAAAATGCTAGGGATACTTTTATTCATCTACTCCATGAAAAATATTAATCCTAATTTCAACATTTTCTGCTAAAATGTTTGTCTAGTTGTATTATTATTAAAAAAAAAAAAAAAAGAGAAAAGCTAAATGTAAAGGGATCCTTTGCAGTACTGGAAGGAACAAGAGCCCATCCTGGGAGCAGGGGAAAGAGAAGAACAGGACCTGAGCTCCAGCCCCTTGAAATTCAAGACAGCAATGCTAGCACCACGTACCATTGTTTTCATGCAGTGTTAATCTGCTCAGATTAAAAACCAAAGCTTTATGTGTCTTACTCCCAAAACAAATCTAGCAAGTGTTTATGTACACCTCAAACTTCAGCCTAAAAGGGGAAAAATATAGTGCAAACTTGTAGCATGAGGTCATTCAGCAACAGCAAGGGATATCAAAATATCACCTCAAAGAGGCACATGAGCTGACAATGCTGTGTAATTGAGTGTTAGACACGGCTGATTCCAGTGGGATTAACTTGCATCAGTGCAGATCTGGTTTCACTTAGTCAGAGAACATTCAGAGTTTCCTGTATCAAGTTATTCCTAATCACACCCATCTACTTCCCTCTTCACATAGTATATCTAATTATCATTTTGATGTTTTTTTTAAATTTGCTGCTAGGTTTTGTCTACTGAAACCTGTTTCGGGAAAAACGTTTTCCATATACCAGAATTCTTCAAGACGTGTAGTTAAAAAGCACACATTGATTATCAGAGAATGCATTCCTCGTCACTTAAAAGTGACAGGGAAATTTTCTCCCCAAGTACCTGGAAAACATGCTCTATTGCTCTTTCCTTCCTCCTTCTGGAGCAAACATCTGCTCATAAACTTATTACTGAAGTGGGAAGACTTAAAAAATGAAGTGATTATAGACTGCTCTAATGAGGGGTGGTTTAAGAGAAAAAATTATAGGCAATAAAAACAATACCTGCAAGGAAGACACCCAAAAGTTTATAATCATCAGAAAGCTTTAAGTATTCCTAAAAATAAATTAAAATAAAGAGCGGCATTACAAGTCAGTATTAATGCAGGTGGGAGGCTGGAGATTTTTTTGTTTGTAGCTACCAAACTCAAAATGGAAAGCTCTTTCAGCACTGCAGATTAAACAACAGATACGCACAGGTTGCTCTCTTGTTTCTTTCTCACAGGAGTTATTTCACACCATTTTGTGGCAACTCTCATTTTACAACAGTACCCTCGACCTCTTTTGCTTCAACACCTCCTGCAACCCCAAGTCCCCTACTCTTTCTCCAAAGTCTTGTTCTCCCAGCTCAAACCCCTAGAGATACAGCACAACTCCCAAGTCAGCTTCTTTCCTCTCAAAACCCCGCCCAAAGCCATATCCCTTAATCCCCTTCCCCTCACCAAGCCCTCCCACAACACCTACCTCCTTGTTTCCATCCTAAATACTTCCAGTTTTTCCCAGCTGTAAGCTTTCCCACAAAACACCCTTGGCTTTCTTCACATCCTCTTCTTGAGCTTTTCTTTCTCTCCCTGAACTCAAAGCCACATACTTGCTGCACCTCTTCCAGCCACTGCCCATACAAAAACTGTTCCTGCTGTTTAAGTTTGTGGGCAGAGCTCCATTTAACTAACCATCACTTCTGATTTTCTCCACTGTTGCTCAACTAATCTCTGATCATAATTTAAGAAACACAGAAGACAACACCCATGATCTAAGCTTTGACAAAATTTGGTCACTTCTTACCACAACTGTTTTGAAGGCTTTAGTCCTGTAAGCAATGTTCAGGCCTTTGCAAGTGAAGCGCAGGCACAGAACTCCATGGGCTGCAAGATAGGCTGCCAAAGACACCAAGTGAGGGAAATTCATATCTCCTCCAGCTCCATGGGTTAAAATCACTCCATAAGTTGGTTTCCTCTCTGGGACTGAAAAGATGGCATCAAGGTATTTGTTTCCAAACGGTATTTTCACTTTAATCTAGAAATAAAACAAGACCCAATATAATTTAAAAAACTGAAAAGCATTTTCCCAGTCTACACATCATGAAGAAAAACAGGGCAATTAAGAAGGAAACCAAAATTACAAGTCCACTTTCATTGCTTCTGTTTAAGAGTACTAAATGAGTAACTCTTCCTCTGGCTCAAAGATTTTCCATGCAATATTGGGCGAATCACCTTATCACTCCACACTGTACTTTCTTCACTAGAAAATGAAGCATCCCTGGCTTCAAAGTGCATTTCAAGATGTACACTCTTCTATATAGATCTAGCTACTCGAGAGCTAACTGTCACAACTGACTTAAATATTAAGTCTTCCACAATATAAAAAATTATTTTTTCTGTAAGATTTAGAAATACAAACTCTTCTACAGTCACACTTTCATCTAGTGGAAAAAGCTTTTTTATTGCCATTCTCTCACAGACTTTATTAAAATAAAGAATTAAGGAAGCCTCTAAACGTTTATTACAACCAAATTATTTGGGTCTGTAAAAACACAGTATATAGTATCAAGAGAAGTCCATGCCGGCAGCAACCACGGGATCCACATACAATGGATAAAAGACTAAAATCAAGAGGATTATGAAAAACTGATTTCGATACACTAGTTTCACATATTAAAAAAAAACAACCCAAAACCATAGGAATTTCTTTTTTTTCCACTGAGTGTTCAATCATAACTGGTGGCAGATGTTCCAAGACACTTATTCTGTGTGCATGTATAAACACTACTCCAAGATGAGCTGCAAGACACACTCTGAATAGCAGCCAAAACCACGGACTCGGAAGATGCGGCCCAAATCAGACACGGGTAACTGCCCAGCACACGGCCAGAGCCCGCACTCTTCTGCGCAGGGACGGGGAAGGCCCGGGGTAGGCTCACACCGAGCAGCGCGGGGCTCGCAGGGACCCTCCAGTCCCGACAGACACCAGCAGGGGCTGAGCGAAGTGCGAGGCAGCTCCTGTTTGTGTAGAATTAATGGAGACCGGCAGCGGGGGAAAAACAAAAACAAAAACAAAACAAACCAACCCCACCCACAAACAGCCCAGGGCAGGGATGGAAGACAACCTGACAGCACCGCTGCCTGCGCGGT